TTCAAGTTTAGGGTGCTGTGTAGACTCACACTAAGGCTATGGCTACACTCGCGGCTTCTTGCACGAGTAATATGCAAATGAGGCTAAGCGTGGAATATCACCAAGCCTCATTTGCATACCTAATAAGCCACCATTTTTTTCAGAAGAGGCTCTTGCTCAAGAAGGAGCATCTACACTGCCCCTTCTTGCTCAAGAAAAACCCTCTTGTGCAATGCCATTACATCTATTACTTTTCAGGAAGAATGACATTGCACAAGAGGGTTTTTTTTTTTGTGCAAGAAGGGGCAGTGTAGATGCTCCTTCTTGAGCAAGAGCCTCTTCTGAAAAAAATGGTGGCTTATTAGGTATGCAAATGAGGCTTGGTGATAAAGGCATTTGATTTTGACTGAGGAGCAGCCAGACTACCGCGCTGCACCGCCAAACAGCTGATCGGCACAGCGCGGCAGCCATTGTGATGTAAATGAAGCGGTGATTATTTAAATTGCGGCTTCATTTTGCTATGTCTACAAACCTCATCTACGTGGCTCCATTGACGGAGCCATGTAGTGTAGACATACCCTAAGTGACCTTTGCATGAGATGCACAAGGTGACAGAAAACTATTCACTCTTTCTCCACACTGTGCAGCTTCAATCCAGTGGATACAATCTAGCTTTTTGTTCTTTGTACCCTAATCAGCCACTGAATGCCTGCATGTTTTATCCCATTTTAACTGCAGTAAATGTGCATTTTTTAATACAAGAAATCAAATTAATGTCATGATTTTTTTTGAAGTACAGATGCCGCCACAAAGACTTAATATGCAATGTGGAATTATAGTTCAGGTCATTGATGCAATATAAGCATGCTCCTTTTAGTCTGCAGAATCCCTTACTCCTTTATGCTTGCCATTAGAATAAAACTTATTCATAAGCGTAGCCCTGACTTTTGCTGTTTAAGCAGAAAACCATGAATAACATAATGAAAGAAAGTAATTTTTGAAATCACAATAAGAGAGCCTTTCACTTGAGGTTTCTAAGCTACCCTCTACAACAGTGTTTCCCAATTTTATTTGGCCTTCGAACCCTTTTAAACTTGGAAGAATTTCAAGGAACCCCTAGGGAAAATTTGTCAAACAAACAAAAAAAAGTCACCGGACCTGAGCACCACGACCTCCCCTACCCCAGGCCCCGAGGAAGACATATATACGTCTGGTATACGGAGTCTGGTATACGGAGCTGAAAAAGTAGACCACAAATAAGTAAGGATAATAATAATGAACAACTGCTAAATAAGGACATAAGCTCAACATTTAGTTTAATTGCACATATTTAAAAACAAAAATCACATTTAATGTGTACAAAAAATAAAGCTCAAAAATATGAATTATATTGGCAGTTTTCAATGTGAAGAGTGGTTTTTCTTTTCTTGGCAAATTCTTTTTATATTTTGTTTAATACTAAAAAGTTGGATTTTCATATCTGGTGCTGCATTCAGTTGATTTCTGTATTTTGTTTTTGTTGCTGCATAATTCGAGAACCCAGTGTCACACAAGTATGTGCTGGTGAACGTTAACACCTGACGAATTGCACATCTTGATAAAGCTGAATATTCTTGACATAAGCCGCCCCAAAATGTAATCAGAATCATCTTTAAATTTTTGTATTAATTGGCCATCTGAAGTGATTTTGATTAGGTTTTCATAATCTTGCATAGAAAAACTGACTGGCTTTCCTGTTATACTTAATGGATTTCAAATCCAGTTATTGTTATCATTTGTGGTTGTAAAATACTTCACGATGTTTGTGTATAAATCACAAAGATGATCTGCAATGTCCTGGCCAGGAAAAAGAGTACAGAAGAGAAAGCTTGGGGCAGAGTTGTCTGGCCAGGAGGGAGGTTACAAGACGGGACTTGGGGCAGGGTGTCAGAGCAAGCTGAGAATGCAGGCTCTTGGTGCGGGGATATGTGTGCAGGGTCTTGGCACGAGGGGGGATGCTTACCTGGCTTGGCACTCTGCTGCAGCAGGAAAAGTCTCCAGCCAGCATGCTCTTGTTCCTGGGGGAGGGAGGGAGCTCAGTCCCACCGCCCCCTCCCCCGCCCGTGTAACAGGGAACCCAGCGCAGCTGCAGCACCAGGAAATGCTTTCCGCTGGAAGGGCGGGGGGCGGTGAGAGTAGAAACCCTGACCTTCCCCGCCAGATCAAACTCTGCCATTTCCCCAGTAGGCTGGGGAGGGGCGCTGGGGAGAGAGAGCAGCAGCACATGGGGTGCAGCGGAGCCCGAGCATGCCCCGAGGGGGGGCAGTAGAGCTTGAGCGCTCCGCAAGGGGGGGCAGCAGAGCTCGGGCAAGCCCCAGGTGGGGGGAGCAGCAGAGCCCGAGCCGGGTTCCACGCAGGAGGCAGCAAAAAAACGCCGAGGTCCAGGAGCGGCTCCTCAGCTCTGGCCACCCTCACCCAGCAGCAGCAGCAGCCACTGCAAAAGCTGCAGCCTGCACACAAGGAGGAGGGAGCTGCAAGGCACCGGTATGGTCCTGCAGGGTGCGGAGAGGTCACTCAGTGTGCAGGGGTAGGGCAGCTACAGTGGGTGGTGGAGCAGCCAAAGCTGCGCGCCCCCAGAAGCCCATCCCTGCCAGCAAAGCACCAATGGAAGCTGCCTACAGGTTCTGCAGGGTACACGGGCGCAGAATTTTTTTTGCGGAACCCTAAGTTCCACTTGGCGGAACCCCAGGCTTCATTTAGGATGTATAAATGATCTCATGCAATCCACTGTTCTAATGTAAAAGAGGCACCACAAAGGGCAGAAAAGTGGGAAAAGAAAGGGGGCATCTATCCTGCAGAATAGACATTAAGAGAAGGGGGGTAAAGGAATGGTATAGCTCACAATGGTCACTAGGGGTGGCAGAATGTGGGAAGGGGACAGATCATTTATACATCCTAAAGTACACTAGGGGCAGAATACATTGCTGCTCCTAGTGCCCAATATGCACAATGATCCCCCACTTTTACCCTCTCCACTTCATACTGGGTGTTATTCAGTAAAGCTGCTCTGGCCCCACCTCAGAGTCAATGGGCAGTCAGGGCAAAAGACTGGGAAGAGAAAAGGCCACTAAAATACATTTCAACACTCACTAGGGGGTGCATAAGATGAAAGTGGAATGAGGGTTTGTGACAGGAGTGGTCACAGATTTAAATATCCCGTGCTTCATTAGCATGATCTTTAACCCTCTTTGACTCCGGCAGCCCCTTTGGCGGCGTTGCTGCCTTCTTTTTCCTCTCTCCCTCCTTCCCCTCATGCCCTTTCTCCATTATGTAGCTGCCCGTCTCCACCTTTCCACCACCTTCTCTGGGCCCTGAGCCTTTTTTTTTAAAACCAGGTTGGCCACTTCCTTCCACTCTTTTTTCCGCTGCCCTGTTGCCTGCTCTTCAGCATTGCTGCCCCAAACTCCCCTTGGACCTTCTGCCTCCTGAAATGGGCTTTGTATGGTTTACAGGTGCTCCTATATTTCTTTGTTTCTGCCTTTTCGCACTGTCTTTCTTTTTCTCTTCTCTGTCCCCTAGAGCCCATTATACATCCCGGCTGCTGTGTTCCTCTTTCTTTGCCTTCTATTGCCCGTTAGCCTCAATAGGCAAACCTTTCCTCCTCTTGTCCCCCTTTGACCTTTTCGGTTGTTGACCACTCCCAGAGCTCCTTGGATGTGCCTATTGTTTGAAAGGCTATCAAAGCATCCCTGTTGTCTCGTGGCAGTCTACCACACCTTAGTGGCCACTGTCGAAGTACAGCCTTCTCGCTTCCCCTCTTTTCCTAATCTCCTCCTAGGGTACGTCTAGACTAAATGCCTCTTTCGAAAGACACTTTCTCAAAAGAAACTTTTGAAAAAATGTCTTTCAAAAAAGAGCATCTAGATCACATTATGTGGATCGGAAAATCGATCCACTTTTTTGAAAAAGCACGTCCTGAATGCTGGACGCTCTGTCGAAAGAAAAAGCCACCCGGAACTGCTTCTGCCAGGGCATGGGGGCAGCATTTCCTTCCAGGTGCTGCTGCCTGCCCTTTGCAGAGACGCATGGTTAAAGGGACCCCCCCTGAACACCAGTTGCTCTGCTCCTGCAGCTGCCTTTGTTGTCCCTCTAGGAAGTAAGCAAGGTATTGCAGTGCTTGTTTGGAGTGCCCAGCTTCCTGGGACAGCACAGCAGGTTTTTTTGTTTGGAGGTTTTCCTGATTTAGATCCCTTTTTTTTTTTTTTTTTTTGGCCATAGAGCCAGACCTGCCCCTGGGTAAGTGATGGCTCCACACCATCATACTGCAAGTTTTGCTGCATCTGCATGACACAGTCATGAGGCTACTTCCACGTCTGGACCCAGACCAGAGATACGTAAGGTTCACCCATCATACAGCCCTACTGCCCTTGCCTCCAAACTTCTTCATGGAGAGGTGTTTTTGGAGGCTTGACACGAGCTCCCCCTGGTGGGACCGGCTCATTATGGAGCTGTGGGATGACCAGCAGTGGCTCCGCAACTTCTGGGTGTGGAAGGCCACTTTCCAGGAGCTGTGGACCTGGCTCACCCCCGCTCTGCAATGGCAGGACACCCACCTGTGGCCCGCCCAAAAGAGGGTCATTATTGTCCTCTGGAAGCTGGCCACCCCCGACAGCTACTGCTCTGTGGGACACCAGTTTGGAGTGGGCAGGTCTACTGTCAGGTCAATCCTGATGGAGGTAAGTAATTGTAGGGGGACAGTCATAGTTGGGGGGGGGAAGGGAAACTGTTGGGAAAGGGCAAGGTGGAGTGGGGGATGGAGTGGAGTGGGAGTGGGAGGGAGCTCCTCCACTCACCGTGAGCTGCTGGGGAGGGAGGGAAGTTCCAAGGAGGGGATTCCCAGGATGTTTGAGGGGGAAGGTGGGTGGTGGGTTCTCCTCCCAAGAGATCAGGCACCCCTTCTAAAATGTCGTTGTCTGTCTATTTGTCTCTTTCTTCAGGTGGTGAGGGCCATCAATTCCGAGCAGCTGAACAGGCTCGTCCATCTAGCAGACCTGGATAGCGTCATAGCCAGCTTTGCTGCCATTGGCTTCCCGAATTGTGGAGGAGCACTCGATGGGACACACATTCCAATCTGTGCACCGCCCCGTTGAGCAGTCCAATTCATTAATAGGAAGGTTACTGACATCTGTTTTGGGTGGTCAAGGCGGGCACATGATGCCCGCATCTTCAGGAACTCCTACCTCTACCAGAGGCTGCAGGCAGGAACATTTTTCCCACATCATGACTTTGCAGTTGGGGATGTGCACATGCCGGTGTGCATAGTGGCTAATGCCGTGGCTGATGAAGCTCTACACCAGCCACCTGGATGTGAGCAAGGGAGCAGTTTAATGCTCATCTTAACCAGGTTCGCAGCCAGGTGGAATGTGCGTTCAGATGTTTAAAAGGGAGATTCCGGTGCTTGCTGACATGGCAAGAAATGGGGGAACGCAACATTCCTGAGGTGGTGGCCACGTGTTGTGTTCTCCATAACATGGTAGAGAGGAAAGGGGAGGCCTTCCTACCAGGGTGGGGTACAGGTGCTGATGGTCAGGAGAGGCACTTTGCCCAGCCCCGGACAGCTGCCATCCGCCAGGCTCACAGATCTGGTGTTCGCATCCAGGAGGCCATATGGGAGTGATTCTATAATGGAGGCCACTGAATCTCCTGAGGGCCTCCTATCTGGGGGCTTAGCTGTGGCCCAATACAACCTTCCCTCCTGAACCCTCACCCTGACTCTGTTTGTAGAAATAATAAACACCAGGTTTTGCCTGAAAAGAATAACTTCTGTTTTATTGTTATAAATATCAATAACTGAAAGAATGTAGAAATGTTGCAAACATATAAAATTGTTTGTTTGTTGTACATAGTTTTTTCTCAAAGAATACTCTCTGCATCAAAAATAAACATTTTCTTAAATAGATCTGGTGTTCGCATCCAGGAGGCCATATGGGAGTGATTCTATAATGGAGGCCACTGAATCTCCTGAGGGCCTCCTATCTGGGGGCTTAGCTGTGGCCCAATACAACCTTCCCTCCTGAACCCTCACCCTGACTCTGTTTGTAGAAATAATAAACACCAGGTTTTGCCTGAAAAGAATAACTTCTGTTTTATTGTTATAAATATCAATAACTGAAAGAATGTAGAAATGTTGCAAACATATAAAATTGTTTGTTTGTTGTACATAGTTTTTTCTCAAAGAATACTCTCTGCATCAAAAATAAACATTTTCTTAAATACCCACCATTGTGTTTAACTGGGTGGTGGGGGTGCTTAAAACCTGGAGAGGGGAAGGGGATCAGGTTGGATGGTGCTTGCCTGCTCACAAGCTCCTGCCGCCTCGTGTTCAGGGTCCACCATGGCCTTGGGATTGGGTGGGGCAACTGTCTGTTGGTTGGATGACAGAGGGTAGGTGCACTTGGGTCTGGGAGGCGTGGGGGAGAGGAGGGCCAAGGGGAGAGAGGGGCTGGGGAACTGGGGGAGAAGGAGGTACAAGGGGGGAAAGGGATGGTGCTGTGGAAGGGGGGTTTGGTGGGGCAGGGTCATGGGGTGCTGATGGAGCAGGACCAGGCACAGGAGCAGGCAAGCCACAGACCTCCCTGAGACTGGCACACAGGGACGTGCATTGCTGGACAAGCTCCTCCATCAACTGATCATGCCACCGAGCCTCTGCCTCCGTCCTCTCTCACAGGATGGTGTTGAGCTCCTGCACGGCCACCACATGCTGCCTCAGGATGTCTGCATAGACATGCCTGTGTCTGCGGCTCCCATGTCCCCAGGATGGAGGTGGGGCTGGGTGCTGCAGCCCTCTTGCATGGCTGGTCCAGCTGTGGAGGAAAAGAGGAAGACACAATCAGTCATGTGTGCAACAGGCCAATGGTGGGATGATAGGATTTACTATAGCAAACTTTTTCCTGGGTGTATGGCTGGTGAGTCTTGCCCACATGCTCAGGCTTCAGGGGAAAGGGAGATACAAGGGGGGAAGGCGATGGTGCTGTGGAAGGGGGGTTTGGTGGGGCAGGGTCATGGTGTGCTGGAGGAGCAGGGCCAAGCACAGGAGCAGGCAAGCCACAGACCTCCCTGAGAGTGGCACACAGGGACGTGAGCTGCTGGACAAGCTCCTCCATCAGCCTATCATGCCACCATGCCTCTACCTCCATCCTCTCTCGCAGATTGGTGTTGAGATCCTGCAGGGCCACCACATGCTGCCTCAGGATGTCTGCATAGACACGCCTGTGTCTGCGGCTCCCATGTCCCTGGGTTGGAGGTGGGGCTGGGGTGCTGCGGCCCTCTTGCATGGCTGGTCCATCTGTGGAGGAAAACACGATCAGTCATGTGTGCAACAACTATCCAAAAGGGCATGCCCTCTCTTTCAGACAGGGGATTCAGAGGTTCTGAAGGTAACACAAAGTGTGACCTGGGCATCAGCCTGAACATCACAGGTGTCCCAAAGTGTCCATGGGACCTTACACTGACAACCCACCTAGGTGTGTTCTGGACATGGTTTATGCTACCACGTAGTGCACCCCCATGTGTTACACTCTTACCACTGGACATGTTGGCACATGCACAGCCAGCTGCATGATGTCCAGGGTGAACATTACAGGTTTCTCTTGTGCCTCACCCACTGTGCACCCACCTCCCCCACCCTGTGTGTTACACGACATCACTGCACTCACCTGGTGCTTTGCCTCCGGCATCAGATGACACCTGGGAGGCATCTGGGGTCTGGGTGACTGGCTCCAGAATGAGGATCACAGTCTTCTCGCTCTCCTCCTCCTCCAGCACCATCTCCCTGTCTCCAGACACCCTGGACTGCTCTAGGTCCTGCTCTGGAGCATCCACCACAGGGTCCCCCAAGCCAGACTGGACGAGACACAATGGTGTGCGTCCTTCCCCACCACCAAGGATCTGGGCCACTCAGAATAATAAGGGCAGTAGTGGGGGGGGAGGGGCCTGCCCCAGAACAGGAGCTCTCCTCCCTGGCCCTAACATAGCCCTGGAGCAGCTATTTGACTTTAGAGCGCACCTGGTCCTGGGTGCAGGGATTGTGCCCTCTCTTGGCCAGGGCCTCTGCCATGCAGCCAAAAATATCCACATTTCACCGCCTTGTGTGCAGGGCTTAGAAGGCCTCCTTCTCCGACCAGAGCTCAAGAAGGGTCTTAAGCTCTGGCCCAAACCATGCCCGTGCCCGGCATTCGGAGCCCCTGGTTGGGTCCCCAGAAGACTGTCTGGAAGGGCCAGGAGGGTCCTCGGGCTGGGACATGGCTGAACTGGAAGAGCTGTGTGCTCTGTCTGCTTTGCTGCCACAACTGGCTGTGAGGGTGACTGTCCCTTTAAAAGATGGCTGCAGACAGGAACCAGAGAGATGCAAGGCATACCCCAGACTGTCCACCAAGGCTTCTTCCTGAAGACCCTTTTTTTTTCTGAAAAAAAAAAAAAAAACTTAGCTCCCTGCATCCACATACAGTTTTTTTCGATGGATCGCTGTCGTACAAGGTGTTCTTCCTCATAAACCGAGGAGCACTGCCATCGACAGAAAAGCCATATTCTTTAATTTTATTTCAAAAGAACGTGGCTGTAGTCAAAATGCAGGTGAAGTTTTTTCGAAAAAAGACTACTTTTTTGGAAAAAACCCTGCAGTCTAGACACAGCCCTAGTGTCCAACCCATTGCTCATCTTCACCCTCTTATGCAGTCTGACACCCAACATAAACGCTAACATTCCCTTGTGCTTGTTGACTCTTTTCCTATTATCCTCCTTGGCTGCGTCTAGACTGGCAAGTTTTTCCGCTTTTTCAGCTGCTTTTGTGGAAAAACTTACCAACTGTCTACACTGGCTGGTTGAATGTCCGCAAGAACTCTGACGATCTCATGTAAGAAATCAGTGCTTCTTGCGGAAATACTATGCTGCTCCTGTTCGGGCAAAACTCCTTTTGCGCAAAACCTTTTGCGCAAAAGGGCCAGTGTAGACAGCTAAGATTTGTTTTGTGCAAAAATGCCCCGATCGCAAAAATGGCAATTGGGGCTTTTTTGCACAAAAGCATGTCTAGATTGGCCACGGATACGTGTGCGCAAAAGTGCTTTTGCAGAAAAGCGTGCGTGCCAATCTAGATGCTCTTTTCCGCAAATGCTTTTAACAGAAAGCTTTTCTGTTAAAAGCATTTGCGGACAATCATGCCAGTCTAGATGACTGAGAGGTGGTGGAAAGTACAGCTCTTACTGCATAATGCCCAGCTTTGGTTGCAGAGAGCAAAAGCAAGGGTGTCTTCCCTTGTAGGTGGGGGATTCAACATTTTCAGCCTTTTTTTTTGTTTGGTTGCACTCTGCAGTTGTCCAGGATCTTTAAGGACACATGGTGCCCGGGACTGCATGCTTTGATGAAATTGATGCCCCAATCGGTGTGGACTAGCATAGAAGAATTATGGTAAGGCTGCTGGTTTTCACTGCATACGTCTTCTGCCATTGGTGCCTTTTGGGAGGTACAGCTGCCCCCCTCCACTCCTCCGTGTCTGCTACTGTGCTTGTTATGCAGTATAGCTTTTCTTTCCCGCCTTCCCTCTGTGCGCTGCCCCTCATGCCCTTCCGCACGTTAGCTTCCCCTTGCCCCTTCCGTCCTTTGCTGCTCCTCATGCCAATAGGGACTGTAGCTATCTCTTCCCCGCTTTTT